GAGTACCTGGCTTATAGTATTATCATTATCATCAAAATGAAAAGAGCTTATATTTATGTTTTCCTCCTCTTCTGCTCCTCCTCTTCTGCTCCTCCTCTTTCTCTCTCTCCTCCTCCTCCTCCTCATCCTCCCCTCCTCCATCTCCTCCTCCTCCATCTCCTCCTCCTTCATCTCCTCCTCCTCCTCCTCCTCCATCTACTCCTCCTCCATCTCCTCCTCCTCCCCCTCCTCTTCCTTCTCCATCTCTTCCTCCTCCTCCACTTCTTCCTCCTCCTCCTCCTCCTCCTCCTCCTTCTCCTCCTCCTCCTCTATCATCAGCTAGAGGTATAAATAATGTTGCCAGGGCTCTCATTTCCCTCTCCTTGAACAGGAGGCAGGCTAACAGGCAGCTCGGTAGTTTGGAACCCAAGCAAAAGGGAAGAGCCATTTCTGGTAGAATATCCATGGGAAGGACACAGAGGACACATGCTCATGGCTATAGCAATCATGGTGGTCATGGTGACGGGCTCTCTATTGGCCAGATCTGAACTATGAATCTGTCCCCATGGCTGGGAGCTGCAGTTGGGAGAGGATAAGGTAAACACACCCCAACCACACAGCACATCTCTCCACAGATAAGAGAAGGTCTATAACTAGATGTAAGTACCGAGTTTACTGAGCAGGCAAAACAGACACTATCTACCGACAGCAGTGTTTTAAATATCTTTTAATTATTCTTGGGTGCTATCGCAGAAGTTCATAGCATGGCAAGCTCCTCAGCAGACTGACTTTCTTGATAGGAGGGAATATAGTTTGTCTTTTTCATGTCTCCATTATAGACATATGTTCTTTGTTAATTGTATCATTGAGGATCCCAGTGGTCATAGATATGAATATTAGTGAAAAAGGTCTGTTGATGGAATATCATATAATAGAAAATATCTCATTGTTTCATCATAAAATTTATGATAAGTTCATGAGATGATTTTTTTGCGTTTCTTTAAAATTTTTTTATTTTTCAATTACTGTACACATACAATATTATATTAGTTTCAGGTGTACAGCATGGTGATTAGGCATTTATATAACTTATGAAGTGACATGGCAGGATTTTTATTTAGACTTCTTAGCAGCTTACCCTTCCCCAACACAAAAGACAATTCCTCTGATTTTTTTTCAGCACAAACATAATAGTCTCATTATCTTAAAAAAAAAAACTATAAAAAAATAAAATTTCCTTTTTACTCCCTTTCCAGAAGCAATCACTGATAATTATTCAGTGGCAAATACCCAAACCAATATTTTCCCCATCAATTAAAAAAATATGTATATATATGGTCACATGAAATATGAGATGTTTATAAAAATGGGACTAAAAGCTAAATCAACACTATGTACACTGTTATTATAAAATAGTTTTAATGGAGGTGAATTTCAACTCACACTTTGTCAATTAATTCCCCTTTTTAAAATCCTATGAGGTTATGATGTAAGTCTAGTCATAATATCTTCCCCGTTCCATTCATTAAACTGCTAGTCTTCCTGGGCTCACACGATGTTTATGATAACCTTCATAATTACAAATAATTTCTATCATTTCATAATTATCTGCTTATATTTACATTTGTTTCCTCAACCAATTCCTTCAAGGTACTAAGAGCAACTGGAGAATTGGCACTTTTCCTATTCTTTGGAATTTTTGTGTTACATCCACTATTATAATTTGTCTGTTTACTGGGTCAAAACTGTTCACCAGAATATGAGATAATGATAGGAAGATGTATGGAATGCTAGTTAATTTTTGCTGCTTATGTTTTTCATCTCCTTTTAATTCATACTTCTTGTAAAACCCCCACAAAAATAACAGTAATGAATACAAATTATAAATTCACAGTGCCATCAAGGATAGGGGATGACAGCAAAAAAGTTATGTCAAAAACATTTGGGAATGCGTATTGGAAAAGTGGTAACTTACATAGCAACTTGGAGGAAGATGAAATGTAATTACCTCTGTGTGCATGTGAGAGAGCTAATAGAAGTCAAAAGGTGGATATCTCTACTTAAAATACGCAGCAAAACTGTAAATCAATGTGCAGAGTAGAATAAGATATCTCCAGAAGTGTAGTTCTTAAAGATTTATTTCCCATACATGTGTGTTTGGTAGGATATTGGGGATGTA